TTAATGTCAGGGGACTACCTTTACCTTTACCTACCATCTCCCCAAGGGACTCGGTGTGGCTTACATGAGGCCAAGCCCAAAGCACATCAAACAAAACATCAATAAACACAACATCAGCAAACAATCAATAAAATAAAATACAAATCATAAATCACATAAAAACAGTCAATGGTGACATATAAATATTTTTAAATGGCTGGGCCACATATAATAGATTAAAATTGAAAATATGCTGATGTGAACAAGGTAAAAAATAACTGGATTTTTCAGTGAGAGATGAGGGAACACAATCCATCCTAAGTCAATATTAAAGTGGGTTGTTGTAGGTTTTTCCGGGCTATATGGCCATGTTCTAGAGGCATTTTCTCCTGACGTTTCGCCTGCATCTATGGCAAGCATCCTCAGAGGTAGTGAGGTCTGTTGGAAGTAGGAAAAGGGGTTTATATATCTGTGGAATGACCAGGGTGGGACAAAGAACTCTTGTCTGCTGGAGCTGGGTGTGAATGTTTCAACTGACCACCTTGATTAGCATATAATGGCCTGACAGTGCCTGCAGACTACTTCAACCAGAGAAGTCAGCCATAGCAGAGCACCTGATGAACCAACCTGGACACAGAAATTGGTTCTGTGAAATGTTGGACCACTCTCACAACCACCATGTCAGACTACACAGAGAAGCCATTGAAATCCACAAGCATGTGGACAATTTCAACAGAAAGGAAGAAACCAGGAAAATGAACAAAACCTGGCTACCAGTATTTAAAAACTCAAAAATTACAACAGCAAAACAAAAGAGAGTAAACAATCGGGCACATCAAATCACCCTCAACAAAAGATTCCCCCCAGGCACTTCCAAGCCATTAAATGCTAATCAAGGTGGTTTGGATTTGAAATTGGATTTCAGAAAATCTGGCTTGTTGTGGAAACAAGGATTGGAGGCGAAGCTTCAGTGGAGATCCCGTTTTCCCCGTGATGATGAATTGTTCACTGTTGCCAAATTTGTGTGACCCCAAATTTATAAAGGGACCCCCCAGTTTAAGAAGCACTGCCGTAGGCTGTAAGCATTCGTATCGGACTATGGTGTGGTTGTTGCTGCAAATCAATAGGTAGAGATTGTCATGTGAGTATTGTGGATCCTGATGCTCTGTCTTTGTATGTGCTGTGTCTTCTCATCAGATCGTGGAGCAGGGCTTGGAGAGGTCGATCGTGCTGGAAGACGACGTGCGGTTTGAGGCGTATTTCAAAGAACGGCTCTGGAGACTGATGGACAACCTGGAGCTGGTGCAGATGGACTGGGATCTGATGTACGTCGGGTTGGGCGATGCATGTTTACATTCTGGAATGTCTGAAATGGTAAACTACGAGTAACTAAATGTGAACAGTTTTACGGCATTTCAGGTAAGACCCTTTCCTGTCCTACAGGGAGGCATTCAAGGTTCTGTATCATAGCTAGAGCATTCCCATAGGAGCAGTCATGGAAAGAGCTTTCGGTTGGAGCTCAGCAAGCGGCAGAGAAGTTTTCCGAGGATGAGGTCACAAGTACGTTTGGAGGGGACGAGAGACAGGGCCTTCTCAGTGGTGACCCCTCGGCTATGGAGCACTCTGCCTAGAGAGATCAGATCTGCTCCCTCACTCTTAACATTTCGTCGGCAAGTAAAAACATGGCTGTTTGAGCAAGCTTTCACAAATGCAGAGTAGCTAATATAGGAAATCAAATGACTTGACAATGGAACTGGACAAAGCTTGATAATAAGGAGACACTAATTATGTTGTTTTTATTGCTCTTGTGGTGTTTTATACTGTTTAATGTCTTAATTTATATGATGTTTCATGTGTACTGATTTGTTGGAAACCGCCTTGAGTCGCCGATTGGCTGAGAAAGACGGTATACAAACAAACAAACAAATAAATAAATGATGGTAGATTTAATGGGTTTCAAAGTGAAGAGTCTATTAGTGATCAGAGAGAATTGTAGGCCGATGAGACTGATATTTAGGATTCCGGTGCTCGTTCCCAGGCAACAGAAAGTGAAGGTTTCACCTCCCTTGTGAAACAGCCTTGGGAGTTTTCCCAAGAAGCCAGATTAGATTTGAGAACGGAGGGAGTGAAGAATAGACTACTTCGATGTTTTGATTGCACCTTGAAGCCCAGGTGCTTTCGGCACAATCTCATGGCTATTTGGTAGGGCTTAAAGTAGGTCGCACTTTGAAGCCCAGGTGCTATCGGCACGATCTCATGGGACTTTGGGCCTCAAGCTCTCAGAGGAGACAATGTTGCCATAAAGAAGGCTTTCCTGTCTCGCCTCTCAAGTTCACGATTCAAGTTTCATGCCTTTGTTCCTTAAAGCAGTGGTTCTCAACCTGAGGTCCCCAGATGTTTTTGGCCTTCAACTCCAAGAAATCCCAACAGCTGGTAAACTGGCAGGGATTTCTGGGAGTTGTAGGCCAAAAACATCTAGGGACCCCAGGTTGGGACCACTGCCTTAAAGGGTTGTTTTGGAAAAAGTTCCTGTTTTCACGCAATGGATTAAGTTCCTGTTTTTATGCTTATGGATTTATGTCTGAATAACTGTAGTTGTAGTAGGGCCAAGAGAGTCTTACACATTTGGACAGGGAGACACAGTCCTTCAGATATTCTGGACAATACCTGCAGCGTTTGCATGTCCTGGAATCTTGTATTTTACTCCTAACAAAGGAAGGAATAGCGGTAGAAGAATTGCTCCCAACCATTATGTCTTTCCAGCTACTTGGGCCGGAAGCAAGTGAACTCAGACGCCGAGGAGCTAGTGGAAGATGTGCGAAACCTTGTGGTGCCTGAGTATTCCTACTGGACGCTGGCCTACATCATCTCTCGGCAGGGGGCTCAGAAGCTGGTCAACGCGCAGCCCCTCTCCCGAATCCTGCCGGTGGATGAGTTCCTGCCCATCATGTACAACAAACACCCCAAGTACGTGAGAATTCCTGAGAATGGGAGGAGGAAAATACGGTGGGTGCAGAGGAGGGAATACTAGGTGGTATTATTATTATTATTATTATTATTATTATTTCATGTAAAGGACTGAAATTATTAATCCCATGGAATTTTGCAAAGGTGGAAGTGGGAGCTGCAATTAACCGTTGCAAATCCAAAAGCTCCTGGTGGGCTTCAATGGCTGAGTTCAAGCCTGATTCTCCAGTTCTATGGTTGTTGTTGTTGTTGTTGTTGTTATTATTATTATTATTATTATTATTATTATTATTATTATTAAGGAGCCCCCGGTGGCGCAATGGGTTAAACCCTTGTGCCAACAGGACTGAAGACCGACAGGTCAGAGGTTTGAATCCGGGGAGAGTGCGGATGAGCTCCCTCTGTCAGCTTCAGCTCTCCATGTCAGCTCCAGCTCTCCAAGGATGGTAAAACATCAAAAACATCCGGGCAATGTCCCTTAGGCAACGTCCTTGCAGACGGCCAATTCTCTCACACCAGAAGCGACTTGCAGTTTCTCAAGTCACTCCTGACACAAAAAACCAAAAATTATTATTATTATTATTATTATTAATAATAATAATAATAGCTTTCAACAATTATTATTATTATTAATAATAATAATAATAATAATTGTTGAAGGCTTTCGTGGCTGGAATCATTGGGTTGCTGTGAGTTTTTCAGGCTGTATGGTCATGTTCCAGCAGCATTCTCTTCTGGCATTTTGCCTGCATCTGTGGCTAATGGTTCAGTTGGTAACGAGGAATGTGGTGTGTGTGTGTTAGCAGGTTTGAATAGCATTGAGTAGCCAATGCATCTTGGATGGAGGGCGGTTAATAAGTAATAAAATGATGGTGATATTTTATATATATATATATATATATATATATATATATACACACACACACACACACACACACACACACACACTCTCCACTTGCCTCATTTCCAACAGACCTCTGAACAAACCTATGAGGATGCCATTAGGCACAGGTACAGGCGAAACATCAGAAGAGAATGCTACTGGAACATAGCCAAACAGCCCAAAAAATTCACAGCAACCTCCTCCTCCTTTTATTATTTACTTATTATCTTATTATTATTATTTACTTATTGTTATTATTATTTACTTATTACTTATTATCTTATTATTATTTATTTATTATTGTTGTTGTTGTTATTATTTACTTATTACTTATTTACTTATTACTATTTACTAATTACTAATTATCTTATTATTATTTACTTATTATTATTTACTAATTACTAATTATCTTATTATTATTTACTTATTATTATTTACTAATTACTAATTATCTTATTATTATTTACTTATTGTTATTATTTACTTATTACTTATTATCTTATTATTATTATTATTTACTTATTACTGTTATTATTATTTACTTATTATTATTATTATTATTATTATTATTATTATTATTATTATTATTTGGAGACTCAAAGCAGCTTACATTAAAAGTACGACCACATATACCTAATATACAAACATTAGAACAGAATTAAACGTATCAGCATTGAAAAATTCACACTTAAATTCCGTGCTCGGGGCCTTCTTTGCACTCTTGCAAAGCCAAGCCAGCCCTCTTTCCCCGCTTTCCTTTTCGCCTCTTAAGGGAAAACATCTGCTCGCATGAGCTCATTCCCTCCTTTCAGTCGAGAAAAAGGCGGCCATGGAAAAGCGAGGGAATGTGCAGCGGCCCCTGGCAGGGTTGACTTCAACATGATTGAGTGGCCTTGCAGCTGCCACGCCTGGCTGTTGCTGCCTGGGGGCATCCTCCATTTGGAGTGTGCTAATTGGCACTTGATTGTACTTGGTTACCGGCATTAAAAACACCAGAAACAAGACAGTAAATAAAGAACACCACTTAAGGACAAGGGAACTCCAGACAACCAAGTGCCAGTTAACACCTCCCAAACAGAGGGAGCCCCCAGGCAACTACAACTGACAAATACCCTCTCTGATTGACTTTGCAACTGCAATTCTACTCAATTCTAATCAGGCTTGCTAATTG